AAAACCCCAAAACCCCAAAACCCCAAAACCCCAAAACCCCAAAACCCCATAAGATCTAATATACAAAAAATACAAAAATCATTCATAAATTAATTTAATTAAGGTGGTGATTGATTTCAATTCATTTTTTCACGGTGATAAAATCAGGCATCAGGTACTAAATATCAGAATAATTTTTCCCATAAAAGAGTGATTTAATCTATGAGTTAACTTAATTGCATATCATAATTTCTATCAAATCATCTTAAACCAAATATGACTAAGGCACTTTGAAAACATTCTCATTTACAATCATTACAGTATTAAATTTGCAACATTTAATATCAACATCATTTTAGGAAATCACATGCATTCCTTTATTATAGTCAATATCTTTTACTATTCCAAAGAAAGATAGATTCAAGGGTTATATTTTCATTTCCTTTAAATCAATCTGTACTAACTTAAGGTCCTCAAGTTATGATTAATCTAATTCCTCGTCCAATTGAATTCCAGCTACTATTTGCCCATTAAATTATCTTAAGATTTCTATTTTTGAGTTAAATTGTAAATCAGAAGAGGCTAGCTTAACATCAGTAAAACTAATCAATTGAGATACCTATTTATTCATCACAAAAGCATGAGTCTTTGATAAAAAGTAATCATCACCATTAACTTTATTATTCTATGCTTGCAAGGGGAGTTGATTTGATCCCTCTAAAGTATTTTGCTTAAATAGATACGGCTTATTGTAGGATTAGGCAATCAGAGAACTGATAAGTCTTCTATTCCTTTACACTGAGCCCTTAGTATTAATAGCTCCCTCATTAATATCATTTTCGACAGTGACATACATCAACTAATCAAATGCAATTTTTGCTTACTCAATATAATCATTATCTTTTAATCCTTAATCTTTTTTAGTCATTGTTACAACTATTTTTGGCTGAATTATACTAGTGGCTTTTAAAAGAATGTCCGCTCCTAACCCTTCTACCCACCCTGGGGTATTGATCAAAAGAACACTTTATTCATTTGCAGATTAAGTCTTAATTATATTATCATATGTTTTTATCAAAGACTTACAACACTCATGATAATATCTCATATTTCCACTAGGAGAGGAGCTATTCGTAAAATAGCTAGATATTACTTTATGTTCACAAGTTTGAATATTATTCAAATTCAATCCATTTACCTCAATCAGACTCAATGCTCCAGCTAAAGTAAAGATTGGCTGACCAGGATCAATATCTAGTAAATAAGTTTTGTTGCTCGTCAAAGACTTTAATTAATTAATCAGTGCTGTCACATATGTTGATTTACCTGAATTTTGAATACCATTTACTAATATCACTAATTATTACTTTTTGGAGATTTTGACAAGAAGCTCAAAGCTCTATCTCCAAGAATTATTGAGATTGAAAAAACTCTTGCTCTAATAATCATCTAGTGAAATGTTCGCTATATTAAGTTCTTCATTGCTCGTCAAAAGGAATTGCTACTCAGCAAGAGTATAATCCTTCAATGCTTAGATAGCTATAACTGACTCTCCCTACTTTATCTCTTTGATTTTTATCAAATTTCCATCGAGTTTATCTTTAAAATTTCTAACTTCCTTATTTTAGCTGATATTATTTATGCTCAAAAGCATGTTTTTCCTAGGGTCAGAAAACACACTATGCCATTCAGCTTTATTTATAATGTTAACTCCATAGATCTCTACCTGGCCTTGCAGCACCTTTACTCTTAATGCTCCTGCAAATCTAAAACTCTAACAATAGTGATAAATGGATTGAATTTATTTACCTTTCCTGGAAATAATCTGATGATTTTTACTCCCTCTAGATTATCTATATCCATAATTTCATAGCCATGAATCTCTGTACTTTGCTAATCTGTGTTAATTATAGCAATTTATTGATCTGTGTGATGAGCAGGACCATTATCATTTGAGTTTCTATCTCGAGACCTTGATCTCTTTTTTGTATTTTTATTGCTCTTTTCCATCAATCAATAGTAAAGTATAGTTATATAGATAATTAATAAATAGTTATAGTTTAATAACAAACAAGCAACATGATTTTAACTATTATTTTAAATATGAAACAAGTTTATAAAAAAGGACAACATAGTTAGTTGGTTGTGTAGATCCTTCAGAAGCTATACTAATATTCAAAGATAGGAGCTATATACTTTTGGCAAAACGTCTGTAAGAAAGAAGAGATATATACTCTACTGTTTCTGGGAATATTCATCATTCAGTGTTACAACACTTTGACATATGACGCATAATTCAACTACTTTTCACTTAACACTATTAAGATCTCAGCTGTGGTTAGTTTTGGACTCATGGTTTGGGCACACATCATAGACAAGGAAGTAGAGTAGAAGTACAAAGTCCAACTCAAGAACTACCAGCAAAGGCATTAAAGATTCTAAATGAACTTGATGTAAGGACTGAAGCAGCAGGAACAAACCAAGCAAAGGCAACTTAGAGAGTTTAACAAACCTCTTATTCCAGAGTAGCGCAATAATAGTGTGAACACTCTTGAGGAATAAAAATAATTCATGAAACAATATTAAGAATGGTACCCCTTCCAAAGGCAGTTATCAACGAATGCTCCCAGGGTGTAAGAACCTTTTAAACTCTATTATAATGATCAGAAGCAGGCTGAGAATATTAACATGCAAAGAAACTTTACCAAGTACGGGCAACAGTTTATGAGTGAGGAGCTTCCAGTGCATCAGCAATTCAAGAAAATAGATAGAAACATAGTAATTGAAAGCATGAAAAGTAATTTTCATAGGAAGATTGAAGCCTCCGAGCACTATTTCTTGGAGATAGCCAGAAAGACCAAGCAGTATACCTTTAACTACACATTCATGCAGGTAATTAAAGAGTATCAAATTACTTTGAGAGAGTTATGCGATATATTGGCTAGATTCTACAGAGTGGTTCTGGTTGAGAATGAACATGAGAGCGTTGACGATTTAATAGATGACATTGCTGATTTATATATCGAGCATGAAAGGTTTAGGCAGTAGGAGGTTTCTAAATCAATAACCAAGTTTAGATTTATAAGTTTAGAAGAGCTATTGTCAATGAAAATCTCAAACATTTAAAGCAGATATCAAAATGATGATGCAACTAAATATGAAAACAAAGTGTAGCTTAAGACTGATCATAATCAAAGACTTGCATACCTGCTAGATAATATGTTTGCTGTCAATGAAATCTTGAGAAGTGTAAATAGCATTAACATAGATTATTCAGGCTCACAAATATACATACTTAAGCGAATGGCATTTTTAATATAAGACCCAGAAGATTACAATTATAAAGGTGGTTCAATAAAGATGTTATACAAAGGTTAGACCTGGTCTAAACTCTTACCAAGTGATCCAGAGCTTGTTGCCTCAGTCTTTTGTGCTCTCTTAGATGACTCTTACTTCATTGATGATGAAAAGAAGAAGAGAGGCATCAGACATTATATAGACTCAACAGACCAGCATAGAGCAAAGAGGACTGCAGAAGATTAAGTTGCCTTAATCAATACCTAGCATGTTGGTTATGTCCCTTACTATCACTATGTGGCTCAACAAAAGATTCATCCTGTTCCTGACGTAAACAAATTTTAACTTAAAATCAATCATATAGGGTAAATTCAACGTTTTCTATGCCATTGCAATGATTTATGCACAGATCGCTAAGATGCCAAAGCAGAAATATGTGAGTGGAGAGTATCATGTTGCCATTCAAAATACTATAGAACTTAATAATTACCCTAGATTATATTGATAAGCCAAATTAATTAAATTAATGTATCAGCTTTAATTGCCAATATGAAGTCATGGGGTTTTGGGGTTTTGGGGTTTTGGGG